TGGGCTGTGGAAGGTGGTCAGTGAGGAGGGGCTGGGGGCTTTTCTTGAGCCCAGCTAGTCTGAAGAGCAGTGTCAAAGGGCCAGGGAGCTGTGGCTCCATGGGGGGCCAGAGCCGTCCAAGGAGAAGTGGGGGCCGGGAAGGAGCGGCAGGGTGAGCAGGGGGTGTCTGGAGGAGGGGCAGTCTAGGGCAGAGGCAGAGGCCCAGGACCTCCTGTGGCCCGGCAGGCCGGGCTTCTCTCCAAGGTGCTGACCGTGCATGGCTCCCGGCCAGGCCCAGTCACCCCGCAGCCCCCTGACTCTGACCCATTAAAGGAGGCCCTTGGGGTGCAGAGAGGGAGGGCTGACAGCCAGGGCCGGGGACCCCAGCAGGTAAGCCGGTGGAAGGTCTGCTCCAGTGGAAGTGAGGCCGACTCGGAGCTGAGTGGGGCTCCGTCACCTGGCCCCACCCTCTGCCCCTCAGTGCCCTTCTCGCTGGGGTCTGCAGCCAGGGTCCTGGGCTCTGGGCAGACTGCAGTTGGGTCTCAGGGTTGAGGTGGGGACTCCGGCACATTAACCCCTCACAATCCTCCTGGGTAAAGATTGTGGAGCCCAGGACAGCCCAGGCCTTAGTGCAGACCCCCTGGTAACACCACTTCCCTGAGGCTGTTTTTAGAGAAATCAGGGGCGGGGGTGGAGTGAGAACCTGGCCACATCCTGGCCCCAGGGGTGAGAGCAGGCCCAGGGTGGCAGGACAGCTGCTGTAAATCTGTGACTCTGGGTCCCTGGCCTTATTCCCTCGATCTGTCTTCCTGGGGGAGCAGGAGGTGCTGGGAGAAGTAGGTGGCTAATCCCTTTGGCCACTGCCCCAGGGCCTGTCCCTGTCCCTGGGCCTTGGCCTCCACCAGCTGTTACCAAAGTTTCTTTGTCTGGAGTCAGAGCCAAAGCCTCTGGGGCAGGTGGAGCCAGGACACCCTGAGCCTTAATCCAGAGCAGATCAGCGCGAGGTTTGGGAACTGGCAGCATTGCTCAGGAGATGGGCAGCCCTGGGCCCAGCCAGCAGAGGCTGTCGGGAGGGCTGGGTCTGCCGTCCAGGCACCTGGACCTGGCAAACACCAGCCTTCTCCCAGGACCGAGGCCTGGGGAGCAGTGGCCGGAGGCTCAGCAGGCCTCTAGTCTGGTCCTAGCTCTGCCGTGTGGCTATGGGCACGTCCCTGCCACTCACCGAGCTTCATTTTTCTCAGTAACGTGTGTCCTCATGGGCGACAGTCCCCTGTGAATGTAATTAGAGCTGAATTGCATGGCACAGATGGGGAGCGCTGGGAAGTCAGACCAGGGAGCTGTTCAGGAGGGCTTCCTGGGGGAGGAGCTTTGGGCTGAGCTGTGATGAGAAGAGAGGGGCAGCTTGGGCAGAGAGACAACAACACAAGAGGGAAGAGCCAGGTCTTGCCCACAGCACAAGGGCGCCTGGATGTGTCCATTGACCCCTGGTCTGAGCCAGACCCGGCACAACCAGCAAATGAACCCCTTCCCCACTCCGGCTTTGTGTCCCTTCTGTAACACAGTCACATGATCACCTGGGCTGGGGAGCAGGTGGGCTCGGAGGTGGGCGCCAGCCAGTGGGGTCAGGCAGGACAGGCGGTGGGAGCCATGGGAGGCTCTTGAGGCAGGGGTGCCCGATGGAAGGGGGATGGAGAGAAAGGAGCTGGACTTGGGGTGGAATGAGAGCTCAGGAGGTGGGAGTGGACTCTGGAGGCTCACGCTGCCCAATCCAGAGGTGGGCAGAGGGAACCGGCCACAGCAGAGCCTTGGAGGGACCGTGTGCGGCGAGCAGAGCCCCCACGGCCAGCGGGCACCTCGGGTGGCTGCGTGACCTCCCTGAGCCTCCCTGTCAGCGTCTAGAAAATGGGGCGCTCCCGTCGACGTCACCCAGGCTGTGGGCAGGAAAGGGGGCATAGAGGTGCTCACTGCAGTTCTCTCCTCCCACCGAGTCCGCCCCGGCGCCCGGGGGAGAGGCCGGAATTGCAGGCTGGGCACACCCGCTCCTGGCTCCCTGACCAGTGAGGCCAGGTGCCCCCAGCCCTGGGCCCCTGGGTCTCACCTACGAGTGAGCGGCCTTCCTTCCTGCCCCACAGCTAGTCACGCACACACCTGCGCCTCGTGTGTCTCTTGCTTTCAAGGTTTCTCAGTAGCGAGTCTGTTCTCCAGGGAGGTGGCACTGGGACCAAGCTCCGGCTGCAAGCAGGCTCCTGGGCTCAGGGGTGCAGGGGAGGCAGGAGCTCTGATGGCCGAGGACCCTGGGCCAGGAGTGGAGACCCGGGTGCACGTCACTCAGCTGCATCCACGAATAGGACCGAGGAGGCCCTGCTGCCTCTCTCCCGGGCAGCGGGACGGGGACGATGCGAGAGCCACACAGCTCCCTTGACAAACGTGTCAGGAACGTGTCATCACATCCCCGCCTGGCAAACACTGCCACCTGCCCTGCCCATTCATCCTCACTGACCCCTCGTGCCACTGGGCCCCAAAGCATAGCAGCGGCCTCCCATCCTACCTGCGGCCGAGGCCAAGCAAACACGGGGCCACGAGGGAGGCAAGGGCTCCTGTTTCTTGGAAAAGCTTCTGCTCCCTGGCACGTGGCCTGGGTGTTGGCAGGAACTGTCCTAACGTGGCAGGCAGGGGCGTTCTGGGGACGTGGACGGGGCGGGAGGCAGGCAGGGGTGATGGG